ACACAATGCTCGCAAAAGTTCAATTTGCAAGTCTTTGCACCTTTCAACAATCCTTTCTTTGCCAGAATTTGCAAGGATTTCTCTCCAGCATGTCCCAACCGCATATGCCACAACTGGGTTGCGTCTAAATCATCACCTCCGGAAGCTGCTGCAACTGCTCCAATAATTGTAATACCTTGGTAGTAATACAAATTATTTTTCCTGATGCCCCTCATCATCACAAGTGCGCCATATGTGACTTTTAAAACTCCATCTCTCATAGTGACTATTGAGCCTTTGGATTCTAAGGCTCCCAACGAGATGAGATTTTTCTTCAAACTGGGCACGTGTCGGACATCTGTCAGAACTCTGGTTGATCAATCTTGATTCTTCAATCGAATTGAACCTATCCCAACAGTTTTACAGGCATTGTCATTGCCCATATAAACAACTCCTGCATTTAGTTCCACTAAATCGGAGAACCACTCCCGATTAGGGGACATATGATAGGTGCAACCCGAATCTAATATCCACTCATCGGAATAGAATATTGTTGATGAAGCAACCAATGATATGTCAGAGTCATGTGCATCATGCTATGCAACACATGCATCTGGAGCAGCTTTTCCTTTCTTCTTCAGCTTCGGACAATCTTTCTTTCAATGACCTTTCTCATGACAAAAGGCACATTCATCTTTTCCCAGTCTGGACTTCAACTTTGATCTCCCTCTCCACTTTGGCTTTTGACTTTTCGAGCGACCTCTTGCCACCATGGCCTCTGCTGCTTCGTACTTGCTCTCCTTCTTGGTTTTCTTCCTGAGTTCATAACTATACAAAGCAACAGTTACATCTTTAAGGGTAACATTATCCTTACCATGAAGTAACGTTGTCTCAAGGTGCTCAAATTCATCTGGAAGAGATGACAACAACATCAAAGCCAAATCTTCATCTTTGAAGGTTTCATCCATGCCCAATAAGTCTTCCACTAGCTCATTGAACGCAGTGATGTGTTCATTCATACTAGTGCCTGGTTGATAATCAAATCTGAACAATCTTTTCTTCATGTGGAGACGATTCTGAGAGCTTTTCTTCAGGAATTTTTCCTCCAAAGCTTTCCACATCTTACTTGCAGAAGTCTCGTTCTTGTAGCCATACTTCTGCTCCTTGGAAAGACAAGATCGAATCGTGCTGCACGCCAAACGATTGATTGTTCCCCATTCTTTCTCCTCCATATATTCGGGCTTTTCTTCCTCAATGGCGATGTCTAGACCTTGTTGGAATAAAGCGTCTAACACCTCGCCTTGCCACATGCCAAAATGACCGGATCCATCAAACAACTCCACCGAGAAATTTGCATTTGACATCACCCTCCTCACCGGTCCAGATGAAGAGCTTGATGTCTCAACTGATCCGTATTTTGGCATTTTAATTCTAACGAATAATATTCAATATCACGAACTGTATCTTTTCAGCAACGGAACCACCATGATAACCTCAACCAAAGCTCTGATACCAATTATTGGGGAAAACGGGTTATTTCTCACACGAACGTAGTTTTAAAATTGACCTAAAATGTCAAGATTAAAACCACCAAAGGTTGCACAGCGGATAAACCTGTCAAACTATTGAATATTGAAACACAATGGAAAATAACCGAATAAAAAACAATAAAGGAGATAACACACCAAATTTACGAGGTTCGACGAGAATATCGTCTACTCCTCAGGCACCACACCGGATGATAACTTCACTATATCGCCAATATTACAACAAATGGAATTCTTTGGAATTCCCAAAGTGGGAGAATGAAGAATACAAGAGGAATAGAGAACTTGTTTTTGGGATGATTTCTAATGGAAATACTTAGGCCTATTTATAGTTGAGTTTCAAGAACAATATGTTCAAAGTTTGGCCACCTACCAAAGAATTTTCCAATGTGTACAAGTTTGCCACCAAATATGAAATTCACATGTTCAAAGTTTGGCCACCAACCAAGATGAAATTTTCAATAAGTTGGCCACCAACCAAGATGAAATTTCCAACTTGTCGACTTAATTTCTAGACAAATCTAACAGTACTCACTCTAGTTTCAACCGAGTGGAGAAGGCTATGTAACCTTCCTTATCGCGTTCGATCGGGATCCGCACCGGTCCAAATGTGAGAAATCCATCATGGTGTTCTCCATGGAGGGTGAAAAGTTCAGTACACTGCCTCATCCAAGTTGTTTATGCAAAACAATTAAATCTCATGATCGGATGAATCTATTAGAGATGGATGGTCGGCTAACGTGCTGGTATTTGTTGGGACAAGATGTTCGAGTATGGGCCGTTGAGGGCTGCGGCCACATCGTCAGTGATAATATCACGGTGGTGCATGAGGTTCAGATCTACCATCTTGATTTTAATCGATGTTTTACGAGTTATTTTTTCTCATGTGTTCCGGATAATTGCCAAGTGAAACTTATGAGCACATTGAGGATAGGAAAGTATTACTAATTTGGCTACATAAAGAAAATTCTTACTACAATTTATCGACGAATACTGTGGAAAAGGTTAAATTAGAGAATGATAATCCTGCATTAAGTATTTACGGCTTACCAATTAAACCAAAAATATGATCTTGTTGAAGAATTTTTACTCTGGCTTATCTAATATCCATGCGAATTAAATGCATTTTGATGATTATTTGTTTTACTATATCAACAATTGTTAGAATAAATTTTAGATATCATATGCCAAATTTTGATTAAAGATTTTGCTCTTATTTTATTAATACTATATTTTCATGATTAATGTCTAATTATCAAAATATTTATTTAAAATTTTCAAATTACAGATTAAGAATAATTTTAATATTAACAAGTACCTAATTATGATTTAAATAAAAAATTCAGAATTACCAAATTTCAAAATAAATAAGTCGGATTTTGAAAAAATATGTTGCTATAATGGTCCTTAAGCTTTTTAAGGTTTAGACGAGATCGATCTAATTTAATCTTAAAAAAAATCGGTTTTTGAAAAATAAATTGATTTGGAGTCGTTATCGACATTTGGATTAGGTACCTCAAAATATCTTCTAAAATAATATTTTTTAGAAAAATCAAATTAAAAGATAAGAATAGCATGTGTTTATCTAGAAACTCATTTTGATAAGAATAACAAGCGTTTATCTAGACACTTATTTTGAAAATGGTTCAGAAACTGATTACGCGTAGAGAATGATGAGCACTCCTACAACGCCTAAAATTAATACGTAAGTGATCATACGCCATCTAAACAATGAAATTTAGAAACTCGAATACACATATAAATTATGATCATTTTTTAAAAGAAAATAAATGGATATTCTTTTGTGCGAAAAACTTTAAAACACACTTCTTGTCAATCAATGTGAATTTTCATAGATTTTCCGTTTGAAATAATAGTCTAATTATTTTTATGAAATACATATATTTAATATAGTTAAAAAATCACTCGAATACAAGGGTTGATGAGTGTTTAATATTATATATATTTATTATTATTTACTTTTTATTTTCGATTAGATATTACTGATTTATCATTATTTGAGGTTTATTAGTCCCAATGAGAATGTTTGCATCTTGTTATGTTGTCTCTAATCAAATTAAATTGATGTATGAACATTAATTTTGTGAAAGAGATTTAAAAGACGCTCAATAATTATGTAAGGGATAATATTAATTACACGAAATTAAATGTTTGTTCATTAAAAATTTATTTATTCGATATTAAATATGATATGATTATTGTTACACGATGTACTTTGATATTATATTTTTAGGGATAAATGTGATTTTAAATAAATTGGAAATATTTTTTTTATTTGTTGCTCGATATGGTTATATTTTATTTATTTTAAATTAGTTTTTAATTTTTGAAAAAAGGTACTATGATCTAATATAATTATTTTTCATTTTATTCAAAAAAATAGTGATAAAGGAGAAAAATATATGGAGAGTTATATTGTAATTGTTATCCCTAATCATATACGGAAGAATCATAGAAGTTGTCTTGAGTTAAATTAGATCGGATCAAAATTTTTTATTTTAATTTCGATCTTCATCTAATTATGACTCTTATTTTATAAAATTCGTAAACTTTAATTTCTAAAAAAAATAAATTTATGATATTGAATTAGATCAAAATTCATTATTCTAAATCTAATTATTTTTTAGCAAGCACATTTGATTGGTTAATTAAGTTATTGATCTTTATCTTTTCATATTTTCTTAGGTCATAGATTTTAGACCCACCATGAACACTTCTCTTCCCCTCTTTAAAGATTTTTATCTAAAATAAAATTTAGGATAAAGTACACAAATGATCCCTTTAGTATAAAATATTGTTTTATTGAGTCCTCTAACCATTAAAAGTTAGAAAATAATCTTCTGACTATAGGATGTTGTTTTTTTAAGTCTCTCAACTATTAAAAGTTACAAAATGGTCACTCAACTATTCATTGTATTCCAAACTCGTCCTTTTTCGTTAAAAGTTGGTGGTAGTTTGAGTTGGACGTTAACCTGTTGACTAAAATATGATAGTCGTTTTAGATTATGTGATTATATTATATCATATCTTAATGAATAGGTTAATGTTCAGCTCAAACTGCAATCAATATTTTAATGAAAAATGATGAGTTTGGAACACAATGAATAGTCGGATGATTATTTTGTAACTTTTAATAGTCAATGGACTTTAAAAAGCAATAACTTATGGTTGGAAATCTATTTTTTAACTTTTAATAGTCAAATAACTCAATAAAATAATATCTTACCATCGAGACACCATTTATATACTTTACCCTAAAATTGAATGGCACTCCAACAAAATCTTTAACTGATAAAATTAAGTCCAATTCAGCTCATATTGGGCTTTATATCTTGGACTTGTATACAAAAGTCCATATATAGAATATGAACATTCACGAACGTCCTAGAATTGAGTTGTCTTTTTAGCTTCTGATTGACACGAGACAAAACCCTGGATAAATGCCCGAGAAAATGATTTAAGTAAAACTAGAAAAATCTTGTGAATGCTAGAATCCTCCACTACTACTATTAATACCCCCTTCAGGTTCCTCGATTCACAGGACAGAACAAGCAAGGCTTCCATAGCAATCAAAGTATTCCGAGTTTTTGTTGATACAAAGGTTATTTCAGTTCTGAAAATGTCCCTGATTCCAAGCTTCTTCGGCAACCGACGCAGCAATGACTTCGATCCCTTCTCTCTCGATGTTTGGGATCCTTTCAAGGACTTCACTTCCTCTTCGCTGACGACGCGAACTCCAGAAACGTCGGCCTTTGTCAACACTAGGATCGATTGGAAAGAAACCCCTGAAGCTCACGTGTTCAAGGCCGATGTTCCTGGTCTTAAGAAAGAAGAGGTCAAAGTGGAGGTCGAGGACGACAGGGTGCTGCAGATAAGTGGGGAGAGGAAGGTGGAGAAGGAAGACAAGAACGACACGTGGCACCGTGTGGAACGGAGCAGTGGGAAGTTCATGAGGAGGTTTAGGCTGCCTGAGAATGCCAAGATGGATCAGATCAAGGCTGCCATGGAAAACGGTGTGCTCACTGTCACTGTTCCGAAGATGGAAGTTAAGAAGCCTGATGTAAAAGCCATCGACATTTCTGGCTGAAACACTTCCACTTGAACAACAGATTACTCTGTTTTAAAGTTATGAAATGTGTGGGTTTGTCTTTATCAGATGAGAGTTTTATGCTAAGAAACTTATGTTTGTGTAACTAAAGTGTGTGGAGTGGAGTGAAGTGAAGTTGTAAACTTCGCTATGTAGAAAATAAAAGAGTAATCTTTCTTCTTAATTCAGTAAGCTCAGTGTTTATGAATGTGGATTTTGTTTACAACAGTACATCCAGGACAGTAACCATAGTACATTCTTTTGATTAAAACTTCTATTGTATTTCATGGGCGATAAAAGAAGAGCTGCAACCTTAATTGCATTGAAATTGGTGTTGCTTACTTGTAAAGCACCGAGGGAGTACCCAGGGCAGTTTTATAAGTATACCACTTGGCAATCCCTAGGAAAACCACAAAATTGGCCACGCTTAGAGCAGCCAATAGCCAAAAGAAGTAATCAACATGACCGAAATTAAGGTTGTCGGGTATCCACCCCGGCTTCCCATGTTTAGCTGTCACTCTAGTAACAATGGTAACAAGCAAAGAGCTCAAGTAGCTTCCCAGAGCCACGGTCGTTAACGACAGCGCCGAGCAGAAACTCCGCATCGCATCGGGCGCCTGTTCGTAGAAAAACTCCAATTGTCCGATGAACGTGAAGACCTCGGCGCACCCTATGAGGAAATACTGCGGAACTTGCCAAAATATCGTCAGTGGCATTTCCTTTACGTAATAGTAGTTGTGTTCTTTCACTATTTTCAGCCTTTCTTGCTCGAGGATGGCTGCTGCTACCATGGCGAATATTGATATGAAGAGTCCGATCCCCATCCGTTGAAGTTGTGTTAGGCCGTTTCTATGGCCGGTGAATCTTCTTGCCATCGGGACGATGATTCTATCGTAAACCGGCACCCAAAAGATCACGCTCAAAGTGTCGAAGATAGAGAGTGACGCCGGTGGGATATGGAAGTTCGAGTGGCCGACTCGAGTATCCATTCTTTCACCTTGCAACGTGAATAAGTTTCCCATCTGGCTGTAAACTGTCGAGAAGATGATCCCCGAGGCCCATATCGGAAGCAACCGAATTATGGCTTTTAGCTCCTCGACCTGTGTGACGGTGCAAAGACTCCATGGATTCACCGAGCCCTTTAATCGATCTGTTTGAGTTTCCACTGCTGCTTTGTCAAAGAACCTGAACATATAACATCCATTATTACATACTAAGTTTTCAAGACTCGGGATGAGTATCGGATTTATGAGTAAATGATCGATTAAAGCTGAAGTGCTGACCTGAGATTTCGAGTGTGTTCGATCTTGCGGCTTCCTTTGATATTGGACTCTGCATCTGCTGTCTCATACAAAAGAGAGCTATCATCAGGTACTGCAACATTATATTTGCTGATGGATGCCACCAAAACCTGACAGAGACGCGTGATCGGGCTGCCTCCTGGTATTTGGTTCCGATATAAACGAGTGCCGGAGAAGAAAAAACAAACTGCTATAGCCATGGCAATAGCAGGGATACCGAAACCCCATCCCCAGCTCTTATTGGTTTGAATCCACACCAGCACAGATGCTGCAATAAGAGCGCCGATGTTTATGGAAAAATAGAACCAATTGAAGAAAGAACCCTTGTGTTTCTTCTCCTTTTCATCCGCATCGTCGAATTGATCGGCACCGTATGATGAAACACAAGGCTTGATCCCTCCTGTTCCTAGTGCTATCAGGTAAAGCGCTAGAAAGGTCATGGCACTTTGTGTCTCGGTCGGATCACAGTTATCTTTCGCATAACATCTTGGCCTCATTCCATGGACTGAAGCAGACAATGCTAAAAGTGTCATTCCCTGTGCAAAAAAAGAAGGTAACCTTTTGTTGTCATAATTGCAGGTACGGATTTCGGGTTGATTCTTTTAGTGGTGACAGAGACTTACAATGATATAGATGATTGAGAAACAGGCAATTGTCCAATATCTTCCTAGATAAGAGTCAGCCAGAAATGCTCCAATCAATGGCGTAATGTAACACGTTCCGCCCCAGTTCTGGTTGTTTTTGGTGGCGGTCGCGCTTTGCTGGTTTAGTTGATGCTTGAAATAAAGCACCAAATTGGTGCTCATCCCATAGTATGCCAATCTTTCACACGCTTCATTTCCTGTTTGATAAAATACCATAAAAAGCATCAAATCTCCATCTTACAATCACAAATTTCAGGTTCATCTAATGGTTTCCATTGATTACCTATGACATATGGGCAGGCTTTCCAGGTACCGGTTTTCTTCTTATTAGCTGGATATCCCTTGTAATCCACTGTCCCATCTTTTGTATATATATCATCTTCTTCCATTTGATTTTCAGAAATTTATCCAAGCCTGTTGGGATATAGTTCGGAACTCACTCAGAAGTCTCAGAACTGTCCCATCTTTAGTGATAGTTTCTTCTTATTACTTGTGAAAATATAGTTGCAATAGGGTTGTGTTTGCATACACGAAAAGAATAACATGAACACGATACGGACAAGTGTCTTGAACTATATGTAATAACAAAACATTGATGCATGAGAAAAAGGAACATCGGGTTTATTTTCGTTACCTTGAATTCCAAGCAGCGGTGGATTTAGTGATGGTTTCTTCTGACTCAAGTCTTCTGAAATAAATGAGGGTTTGAGCAAATCTTTTTTCGGATGACGGAAACAATGGTGGAGATGGCTTTGGTTTCAACAAGGGAAAGCATTGGTTTCAACAAGGGAAAACGTTGGTTTCATTAAGGAATTCTGTACTCTTTTATAATCAGCTATTCATATGCTTCCAAAATCCAAACACAGCTTTAGCTGAGTTGCTTCTTCCACTTTAATTTATTAAAAATGTTGATTAATCGAATATTAAGACATATTTGGTGTTGATTAATCCAATATTAGGACATATTTGGACCGACTTTAGAAACAATTAGTAACATGAACAAAAAAGCAGTCCCATGCCATTGCTTTGAATTTCTAGTCCAGAAAATGACAAGCTTGATGATATATACAAACTTTCTTTCAAGCAACCAATTCTTCATTAATTAGTTTCTTAATGCTATTTTTAATCATTGATATGAAAGCTATATTGCCTTTCACACGTACGCCGATGCCATCTTGAAGTCGACCTTATCATTTCGAGTATAATTTATAAGTACGATATGAACATGATATGATGTATAAATGTAAACACAATCAATACCTATTTATATGCATCCATACAGGACAATTAATCTTGTCTAGCGCCTGCAGTCTTTTTCCAGAATAGCTTGTGCAATCATACTTTGATAAAGGCTGTGTGACATAAAATTAAACCCCTATTGGGACATAAAATGATGATATTTGCAAGCAAACCTTCCCTTAGGGGTTAGGATTTTTTTAATGCTGATAGTATCATATTAATATACAGATATAATTTTACAAATGTTGTGGATACAGAACTGAAGCTAGAAAATTTAATTTTCACTTCAAAGTTCTACTTTATGTACCTTAAGATGGACAAAATCGATATGTTCAAGACTTAACAGTATCTAAAAATTGCTACATCGATTCAAAAGTGGAAGTATTGAGCGTATCTCTGATGCTGTATCTGATGGCTTCTAGATGTGTGACAGAATTGTGTAAATCGTCTCATTCTGCCACTGCATCGCTACCATTTCCCTCTGGCTTGACAGGTTTCACTTCCGATTCTTTTGGCTTTGATGCTTCCATGGCACCATTAAGGTTATTGGCATTGTGATTATCCTCCTCCGACTGTGGTGCATCTATGGTACCATCATGACCAGTCAGATTTTTCATTTCTTCACCATTTTTAATGTTATTCGAGCTATTTCTTTCTCCTGCTGAAATTGTTAGGCTTGTGCAGGCTTTAGCTTCAGTTAATTTTTCGGTTCCATGTGTGATATCTTCGACAGATTGAAGACTGGTTTCCCCGGAGACCCTTGATGGTTCCACGATAGGCACGGTATTCTCTCTACTTAATATTTGGGATTCCCCTTTGTCATCAACACCAAGGTTTAAAATCTCTTCGTCCGTCACATTACCGGCAAATGAGTCATTCACATTGCATATACGATCCACTTCTGCTCTCACTTCCATTTTGGTTGCGTTATTCACATCAGCTTCATGTTGAATTGATTTTCTGGTCCCTGGATCACTTCCAGTCCAACTGAGAGTTGGGATTCACCTTGATTTGCTGTTGACTTCACCTCTTCGTCCTTCTTATTGACTACTGAATTATTGATATTGACGCCAATGCTACCTTCCTTGGTGCCCTTCCTTGAAGATTTTGTTGGTTCCTTTTACAATTTAACAGGACACAGGCTCACAGGCTTAGTAATCCAGCAGTTTACAACGTAGTTAATTGATTTAGAATTGTTCTGAAAGGTAAATCTGTAAGTCAAAAACAGGCTGAAAGGTGTCCCCTAGGACTACCACATAACACATTCATGCTCTATGTTAGGCAGACTCTTTGTTCTTTTCTATGGTACCCGTGTTCGACATTGGTGTCTTACATATATTTATACCAAACATTATATGGCTCCAAGACTCCTTAAATGTATTAAAAGAACCCATGCTCTCACACTGACCTCCGAGGTTCCGAGACTGCTATTACCTGATAATTGATCCATTGAATTCTCGGTCAACTGCCGTGCATTTTGCGGTATGTTATAAGTTTTCTTGTGGCTGCTTCATATCTGACTGAGACATTTCATCTTCCAGGACATTTTCTGGTAATACCGACCTCGGAGATGAAAAAGAGTTTTCAGGAATTTGTTCAATCACCAATCTTCGATTTAGAGCCATGGAACTTGAACCATCAAATCTCTGATTCGATCCGGAAACGTTATTCTCTATCAAGCTGTCTCTACTTTGAACTGCATTTGTTGCACCCCCAGTGTCATGCTTAGGCTCAAAGTTTCGAGTATCTTTTTCAATATACTTTGAAGGATGGCTTCCCTTGATCTTCTTTTTCGATTCCAAAGGTGTTTTAGACTCATAAAATGTTTCTAAATTGACATGACTATGCTCAGTGGAACCTGGACCGATTGTCTCAGTCGGTTTTTTCATCTCTCTTGAAGCTTCAACCGATATTTCGGCTCCATTTGCCCTGTTTTCTGATGGTTTCGAATAAAAAATGCTAGAATCTCTTTGAGTTATCGGCTTCTCCATCAAATGCATGGTTTTCTCTGGATTTTCAAGTGATAATTTATCAGGAACATTGGAAGTCTTCAATCCATCAACCTTTTCATCTACATTTTTGGTATCTTCATGAGCTTCAGGGTTCTTATTTATCGGATGGGATGCAACTGTTCCTTTGCTATTCAGAACATGCTTGACTTCCTGCTCAGATGGAGAGGGTGATGCATTTGGCTTCTTGAGTTTCTTCTTTAGACCCGAAGCGTCTACTTTGACAGAATCCTCTTTGATAATACCATGTAATTCTCTTAGTTTTTCTCCATCTGCCATAAGATTCGGTTTTTCTTCGTGTGGATCGTAAGGTAGGTCGAAAGGATTCTCTTTAGGCAATGAGAATGAAGGTGCAGATCCTGGCATCTGTAATATTTCTTTGCACCGATCATTCGAAGAAACATGAAGGTTGCTTTTAGCAGTCAGAATGGGAGGCAGATAACTAGGGAGAATAGCATCCGTGTTCATCACGCTTTTATCGACTGTCATATTCACCAGCTTCCTCACTCTATGTTTCGCCATTAAACTTTCTAGCTTTCGGTTAGCATTGTTCTGATCATCTTCGGTCGATTCAGCCGCCTTTTTCCCGTCATCCTCCTTGTCCATACTTTCTAGCTCTAGCTGACCCCCACTATTAGGAACCCTTCCTGACTGTCCTTGAAAGCTATTACTTGACAGATAATTCGTATTATCAAGCACTCGATCATTTACCGTCTCGATGTTGGAGTAACTCTCTCCATGTTCCATGTTATTCCTCCCTTTCTCATCGAAGACCGTCTTCAGACTTTCATCCAAGAAATTAGGATTACTAAACAAACTAGAAAGACCATAAGGACTTCTAGGAGAAAACATTTTCATTTCCTCGCGGAACAAATTAGCAATACCATAAGGAGTTCTAGGAGAAAACCTGTCCATTTCCTCCCTTCCAGACTGTTCTTGAAAGCTATCACTCGACAGACAATTCGTATTATCAAGCGCACGATCACTTGCCATCTCGATATTGGAGGAACTCCCTCCATGTTCCATGCTATTCCTCCCTTCCTCATCGAAGACCGACTCCGTATTTTTGTCCAAGAAATTAGCGATCACTTGCCATCTCGATATTGGAGGAACTCCCTCCATGTTCCATGCTATTCCTCCCTTCCTCATCGAAGACCGACTCCGTATTTTCGTCCAAGAAATTAGGATTACTGAACAAACTAGCAAGACCATATGGACTTCTGGGAGAAAACATTTTCATTTCTTCACGAAACAAATTAGCAATACCATAAGGAGTTCTAGGTGAAAAGTTGTCCATTTCCTCCCTTCCCACTGTTCTTGAGAGCTATCACTTGACAGTGAATTCATACCAGCAAGTGCTCCATCATTTGCCATCTCTTTATTGGAGGAACTCCCTACATGTTCCATGTCGTTTCTCCCTTCCTCGTCAAAGATCGACTTCGGATTTTCATCAAAGAAATTACGATCTTGGAGAAAACATTTTCATTTCCTCACGAAACAAATTACCAATACCATAAGGAGTTCTAGGTGAGAACTTTTCCATTTCCTCCCATCCTGACTGTTCTTTAAAGTTATCACTCGACCGCGAATTCATATATGCAAGTGCTCGATCATTTGCAGTCTCAATAGTGGAGGAACTCCCTCCATGTTCCATGCCATTCCTCCCTTCCTCGTCGAAGATTGACTTTGAATTTTCATCCGAGAAGTTACTATCACTAAACAAACTAGCAAGACCATATGGACTTCTCGGAGAAAACATTTTCATTTCCTCACGAAACAGATCAGCAATACCATAAGGAGTTCTAGGAGAAAACCTGTTCATTTCCTCCATGACTGTTGTTGAAAGCTATCACTAAACCGCAACTTGTACTGTCGTAACCGGTTTTCGTCCGGGTACGAATTTTTACTTGGCGGGAAAAGTGATGTAAATAAATGGTTTTTAAAATGTTTTGGGAGTCGTCATCGGCTTTTTGGGTCAGGTGGGTCGAATACCTAAAAATTATATTTTAAAAGAGTTTTTAAGAAAACATCAGTTAAAAGATAAACTGGTCTGCGTTTTAATCAAAAATTTGTTCTTTTTAATAATAAAAAGGGATTCGTGGTCGATTACGTTTGGGGAATGATTAGCACCCACACAACGCCCAAAATTGGTACTCATTAATTATAAATTGTCTCTATTATTGAAAATTTTAAAAATTCAAAAATGTATTTAATTATTAATCATGTTATTTCAAATTTATTAATATAATTTTAAGAGAATATTTATATATAAATAAGGTATTTATTTACTTAGAAATATCAGAAAAAGACTTGTAGGTGCTTTAAGACAACCAATTTCTTAATATTAAAAAATAAATAAATATTAATAAAATATTTTTAAAAATAATTAAAATAAATTAATATATATAATTGATGTAATATGTTATTTCAAATTTATCAATATAATTTTAGGAGAATATTTATATATAAATAAGGTATTTATTTTTCCACTGGGGATGATAATTTATTTTCTTCTGTGATGTAATATGGCAAAAAGTTGAACAAATTCTTCTCATTTTGAATTTCTTCTCATTCTTCAGATGAGTTCTTCTCATTATGAACTCCTTCTGGAAATGCTGATTTTCAAAAGAGGGGTTGTTAATTCAGCTTTATATGTGATGAATTAAGACAATGTTGAACAAGTTCTTCTCATTATGAACTTCTTCTCCTTCTTCAGATGAGTTCTTCTCATTATGAATACTTCTGGAAATGTTGATGCTGATCTATCTCCTTCTGTGATAGAGTCATGCAAAAGGTTGAACAAGCTATTCTCATTATGAACTTCTTCTTCCTCTTCAGATAAGTTCTTCTCATTATGAACTTTCTCTGAAAAAGTTGATTATCGAGTGATGAATTCAAACAAAAGGTTTGAACAAATTCTTCTCATTATGAATTTCTTCTTCCTTCTTCAGATGAGTTCTTCTTATTATGAACTTTCTCTGGAAAAGTTAATCCATTGAGTGATGGATTCGAATCTTTGGTAAAATCTTTGAAATTCTTGTCAAATATTAAACCTGAATAAAATGAAAGAAAATGCCCTTATTTTGCAAAAGTCTAAATATGATGCATGAATGTTAAGTTCATCTTTATTTGATTTCAAAGTGGTGAACTCGGTCTTCCTTCGCTTAATCAAAATGTCATTTCAAGCTGGCATTTCTGATTTGGAAGAGTAATCTTTGTATCTTCTTTGTTTCATGAAAGTCTCAGAAAAAATGTTTCATTTGCGTTAAAGTCTTAGAAGAAATGTTTCATTCACAAAATTCTTGCTGCTGATGATGAAACGCACATGATAAATCAAATAGATGAAAACTCAGTTCACCCTGACTGGAAATGATAACCCCAGTAACAACGAGAATAAGAATAACATAAGCTGAGCCTCCTTATTCAATGTCATCAAGTAAGCGAAAATTATTGTGAAAAACATCTTCATAGCCCCTACAGTATGATTGAAACTAACTGCAATGAATCTTAAAGAAATATTTCCAATCATCACCGATACACATAATACAAAATTCAAAGCTGATATTTTGATAAACTGAACCCTGTATCGAATATTCTACCTGGGGACCATCTTTATCCATCCAACCGTGATGTATCTTAACAAAGATCACGCTGTCATGTAACACATGGTTAAGAAGATTGGGTATTTGAAACCATATTTGTTGAGTAAATATTTGTTCAACATCATGACCTTAATGCAACTGCCTGATGAACGAAGCAATTATGTATAGTCAGCTCCATTATCACTGTTTCACCATTTTTATTTTTCATTCCTTTCTGTCTCATTGGAAATATTTGCTCAAGTCAATAATCTTTAACACATGATGATGTAGACCTTCAGCATACTCCAGTATTTGCTAATACAAGAAATCAAAATGCGTCAATATTCCTCATTCTAATTGAAATGGGCTTTCAGCATGCCCCATCATTTGCTTCTTGTTGACGTGAGCTTTCAAAATACCCCAAATATTCATATTGATGTGCCTTCAGAAGACCCCACATGAATTATTTATGTCTGAAATGGGCTTTCAAGATATCCTGCTTGGATCTGTCTGAATTGGGCCTTCAAAATGCCCTCAACTTTCAACCTTATAAACTGTAAGGCTTACTTTCAATGTTTGTTTGATTTCAATATCATGATCCCCACGAGGTCCAATTTTGACAATGTACTGTTGTGGGTACTTGCGGCTTTATCCGTGCCTCAAATCTGTTTATCTTGAATACTCTCATTTTGGTGTCACTAAATAGCAGTTGTCAAGTAACTTGAGGAATTCTCTTCATGTTGTCACAAACTTAAGAATCAATCATTCAGACGGAAATGTCTGAGATATGTGCCTCTTCTGAATGAGGTGCCCATTTTTTGGATATGGAGGGATTTAGTCGGACAGAGTGATATAAATCGCTTGGTAATTCATTCCAAACCGACACAGTGAACCTTGTTTTCAATGAAGGCTATTTTTGGAATATACTTTTCTGTAGGAGAAGCGATCTTTTAGGATGATTTCACGGATATTGATAGTTCTTATGATACCAAGGAAATCCTGAATTCTGATTCTGATGAGGAGAATAAACTATTATACTTGACAAAAATGGGGTACTCAGATGCTGAGGCTTCAATAGCCATGGAGATATGTGGTCTGGATTCATCAATTGCAGAGTTGATATATTTTATATGTGCTGCTCAAATGGCTAAGGCTGCTGACGCACTTCTTCCGGTAAAAGATAGGAAGCCATTATGCAATGACCCCAATTACAAGAAAAGAAAAAACTCGGGCAATGATTTTTGGAAAAGGAAGAAGTAGAGGAAGCTTGAAAAGAAGCTTCTTAATGAAGACGATCATGCAGTTCATCTTCCAAATCCAATGATTGGTTTTTGGGTTCCTACCGAACCAAATCAGATAACTCAGAGAACACTTCCAGAAGATGCTATTGGGCCTCCTTTATTTTTACTACGAGAATGTGGCACTTGCTCCAGTTGGTGTTTGGACCGAAATGTCACGGTACTTATACGATGTAGAGCCAGAATTTGTAGATTCGAAGTATTTTTGTGCTGCTGCACAGAAAATGGCTATATTCATAATCTACCAATTGAGAACATATTTTCTCTTATTCTGCTTCCAAATGACTCTATGGTGGTAATAACTTGTTCGTTTTTCAACAGTGATTGCAAACGTTGATAAGACTTACTTTGGTTTCCATGTACTTAAAAGTATTAACATAAAGTGATAACCAAAAATATTTTGTTTGTTTCAAGATTATATTAATCCATTTACAAGATGTTTATGTGAAAGAATAAATTGAATTTCGAAAATAAATTGAATTTCAAAAAGATAATCTTGGAATAAATAATAAATATATAAAAATGTATTCAAAGTTATGGCAAACATAGGAATGATAAAATTCAAATGACTCAACAAATTATTAGCATAAGTATTTCTAAACTAATCAACTTGATATAATTTAGAGCATTGAGGTAAGCTTATGTCTGGAAGATCTCAAACGTTGCCAAAATGCTTGTAGATGTAAAGTTTCTCCCAAAATAACAAGCTCTTAAGAGGGTTTGATTGCCAGATGCCTAATATCAACATGCATTTGAGCAGCCCTTTCAGGTCTTCAACTCAAATCCTTCATTTGGTTGCAAGACGCCCTTTGTGGGTTTTCATCTTGACCCTCATTTTCTATATCTTTTTTCATCATTTTTTTCTTTTTTTTTTTCATTTCATTTTTTTTCATTTCATTTTTTTTTCATTTTCATTTTTTTCTTCTTCAAGCATAATATTTCTTGACAGAATCTGAGTTTATTGGGTTTCTCAGAACTTTTCCATCCATTTCTGCCAAAATCAACGCTCATCCAGAAAAGTCTTTTTTTTACAACATATGGCCCTTTCCAATTAGGCATCCATTTCCCACGGAAATCTTTATGTATAGGCAAGATCTTTTTCAGCACTAGATCACCCTCTTGGAATTCTCTTGGATGCACTCTCTTGTCATGAGACTTCATCATCTGTTTCTGATACATCTGTCCATGGCAAATAACTTTCAATTTATTCTTATCAATAAGGTTCAATTGATCAAATCGAGCTTGGATTCATTAAGACTCATCCAATTTT